AAGCAACGTCACTATCAATGTTCCAATAAAGCCAATTGACAGCTGGTCAAGGGGAATCAGCCGTAGTCTTCTGGTGGAATCGATCTTTGAATCTTTTCACCAAACAATTTCACTCGAAATGGAAGTAAGCTCAACAAAAAATTTTATGACTGCCTAAGGCTAACTGTAGTCCAAAACTATGTGTCCTAATTTTATTAACTTTGTAAGTGAAAGTAAGACAACGCTAAGATCTTAAAAACGAATATATCTTGTACCTACCGAACATCCACATCTTCACGGCCCGAACTAATAAACACATACTGTCGAGTAACAGTTCCAGAGTTGATTGAATCGGTGCCCAAAACATTATGTGTCGTGGAAGATATAGACAAGCACTCTTCACTTTCTGTGCACTTGTTTTTCTCCTGTTCACTTGTAACAGGATCAATTTGGGGCGAGTGGTTGAATTCAACGACAGTTACTTGATTTTGAAGCTGGGTTTTAAGTCCAAATACAGGTAGTACGGCTTCGGTGATGCATTCCTCGACGGAGTGAGCTAATTTCCGTTGGCCATCAACTATCCAGGGTGTCTGAGGAAGTCGGCGGCTAAGCTTCACATATCGTCCGGCCAAACAGAGAGGAACAACACGCGACACTTTGAGATGTAACAGGGAGGCGTACAGGTTAACAGAGCTGGCAGTTGATGCATCAGCAAAGCGAGAGAAACTGAGGCGAGCACAAAGGAGTTAGATACATGCGAATTAATAATAAGTTAAAGTAAATATTTAGCTAATACAGTATTACCCTACTGATGATTAAAAGTGAATGGAATAATATGGTTTTATTGAGTCGTTCTTAATAACCTGGCTCGGAAGAACACCGTACCTATGGATGGCTAAGCCAAGAATTAGGCCAAATTTCAGATTACTAACTTTCAGATGCTTGCCTGGGATTACTCGAAAAAAATTTCCAGTATAACAAAATATCATGATATTCTAAATATAAAATTGGGTAGAAAACTCTTTGAGGAATGAGTATGGTTACATGAAGGGCGATAAATCTCTGTCATTGATAATTACAACAATGTAGTCATAGCATGTTTATGCAAGGATAATTTTATTTTTCCTATGTAATTAGAGTTTCGAGGTTACCAGTAAATAAGTAATATGAGATGTATTTCCCCTATTTCGTTTAAGGTTATGAAGGACTGGTAGTAGAATTTTCCCACAATGATGAGTAGAGCTGACGTTTCCATTGAATTTCATATAGCCTTGCCTTCCAAAAAGTTGTTCTCATCCAGGGTG